CAATGTCTTTTTATAACTGGTAAAAATGCTGTGGGATCCATGTTGGTTTGGGAAATGATCTAATGAGAGTTGTTAGGTCCGACAAGTGCTCTGTATGATCACGTGACGGCCAAGGAATACGAGGTCGCTCGTGATGTCTCCATGGTGTTCCTATATTCCAAGATAATGCCCCCCCATAGCCAGGGTCAGATTAAGAGTGCTGAATGCCCTTGAGCAAAAGGATGTGTGTTCATGTCAGAAAGAAACGGAGCTGATTGGTGGTTCATGAAATTCAATAATGCAATAATGAACATTATACAATCATATTACCAATTATGTTACATATTTCAGATATTAAATTGCATTGACTTGTTGAAAGATATTTGTGAATGGTACAGAGGGGATTTGGGGGGGGGGGGGGGTTCTTCTGGAAATGCCTATGTGGTTAATCTGGGCCGGTCTGTTCCCACTGCTGAACAAATTCAAGAATGGGTTTATGACCACCAATCGCAAGACCTAAATATCATCAACCTCAAAGGGAAGCACAACTGGAAAATTTCCTTCTGGAAGAATGGTCCAGTATCCCACTACACACAGCTTGGGACTTCTGTGTCAACAATCAGTCCTTCCACTTAGGTTTGCTGCGGTCATTGAAACCCAGGTGCGGGTCATCATCTCATTAGGTTGCTGATATTGATATATCGTTTGCCGTTTCTGTAATTTTTGTTTATCTGGTGGAAAGCAATCAAATGTTTTGCCATCATAATGGCACAAACCTTAAAGCAGACAAACCCAAATATCACTCATGAAGGTGCGGTAATGAGCACTGCTAATCTAAACGTGAATGTTCAGAGTATTAACGTGCAACTACAGCCATTTTACTCGGGGGATCAAAGGGCCTTTCTACAGGTAACAACATTGTACCCCCATTGGTACAAAAATGTTCCCCAGAGTCAGGGGCGCCAGAAGCATTTTGAATGTGTGGGGGACACACACTGTGGGGGGGTATGGGAACCCTCCCCCAGAATTTTTTTAATGAATTAGATGCCGTATGTGTATTCTCATATCGATCACGTGGAATGGATTATTTCGTGAAGCAATAGAAAAAACACTAATATTTTAAATGTGGGGGGGTCCAAACGAATAATTATGAAATGTGAGGGGGACACGTCTCCCTCAGATTTAATGGCGGCGACGCCCATGCCCAGAGTCCGTTTCTGAGCCTTAAATTGGACTAAAAGGTACGTTTACTGACAGCTAGGGTGCAGTTGGCATAGGGTGCAGTTGGCAGACCCTTCAGGGCACAGCATTCAGTGGCAAGTAATTGTATCCTTAAAGGCACCTTAAAAAAAAAAACCTCAAACGTTTTTTTTCTGACAGCGCATGACGATGGCAGCCTTCATGGCACTGTCATTATATAACAGAAGACTGGGGGTCAGGGCATTTAAATCAATCTACTAAATTGATCTACGCTGTGCACCATCTCGGGGGGTTAACTTTTCCGGGGGTCCAAGGCTGACATCAGCATGGACACTGGGGTGTTGCCGATTCAATTAACCGTCCTGTTCCTCCTGAAGTCGAAAAGGCCCCTGATGTTTGTGCCTCACCTGTATTGTATTGAAATGCTTTTTCTCGACTGGTACGTTACTTTGGCCGGAAGCATCTGTTAAATAAACACGGATAGCGAACCGCTGCGATTTGAGCCCGGTGCAAGAAAATAAAACCTCCGGCTTGTGGGTGCCGTGGGTAGAAAACTGGCAAGCAAATTCCATTTCCCCCACATGACAGGATGTTTCACAAGTGCTAAAGAAAACAGAAATGTCGGGGGGGGGGGGGTTAAGAGGTGCACGTGCGCGGGTAGACGTACACACGTGCGCAGAAAAACCTGGGCCACACTGCGGCCGACCATGTCGGCCATCGTTATGGTGCGATTAGGTGAACGAGGGCCGAATGCGCTACACGAGGTCCTCACACTCATGCTTTTATAGGGTTATGCTCCACTGAAGCAAGACTGGCATTAGTGTCCCTGGTTAGGCATTAACCTGCTGGCCGTGATGGAAACAGGCGAGGGGTGACCTAGCCGTGGAACGCTGCGGTGCAGTGGGTCAGCATTTTGTAGGACGTAGTTTGCTGGTGTGTTGTGCTCTACAGTACAGTGCTCCGTCCACATAGCAAACAACGGCTCTAGTGTGGCAGCATCTCCTCTGTCATGCCGTGGGGCCTCACGTGGCCCCTGTTTGGAATTTGAGTGGGAAAAACTTCTGTACAACAAAAGAATCGCTTGATAGTAGAATTTTTGATAACACTTTAGTTGATGGGGCACAAATAATACAGTACTATGCTGTTACCTTTGTATTATTTACCAACAGACTAAGTCTTGGTTACATACCAATTACATGTTAATTCATCATTAATGAATCGTGATATTTGTTACTGTATCTGTTAATTCTGTAAGGAACAAGTCAGGAATAGCAAGTTAAAAACTGGTCTCATTTGTTCTTCATTTATCAAACATGATGCATCTTTCATTATAAGCAGTCACTATATTTCACTGTATCTGTTAATTCTGTAAACCTTTGTGAACTACTGAAGGAAGTACTAATGAGCAAGTAATGAATAAAATGCTGATGAAATACTGATCTCAAGTTCACCATTAATGAATTGTGACACTCATCTTGTATCTCAAGTAGCAAGTATATTTGTTTCTGATCTGTTCATGACTTATTGTTTAGTATTTGTGCCCCATCTAGTAAAGTGCTACCAAAGTTTTTATTTTTTATTTTTTTAAATGGAGGTTCATGGGAGGAATGAATCTGCAGTCATGATCTACTCCTCTGGGTGTGAGATGATCTCCGTTAAGCTGTTTTTTGAAAATGCAGATTTTGGAAAAACCTGTTGTACATATGCATGTAGATAAGGCCTCGGAAAAGTTAGTATTTCTGTAACATTCCCCTTATATCAAAGCAGCTGTCTGGTGCAAAACTTCTATCTTGTAAGTATTGTTATGCCGTTTTAGAGAAGAACCTGTTCATTTATTTTCTTAAATGAATAAAAAATCCTGCAACTATTTAGTGATTAATGGGGTGATGTTTAGTTGTCAATAAATGTCTTTAAGAACTTACCCAAAATGCAAAACCAGTCATCATTAAGATAAAATATTTTAAAGACAGCCCACACCTAAAATGTTTTCCATCTTAAATGTCACTCTTGTATCAGTTGGTAATGGTTTGCAGCAGTTTGCAAATTGACTCATGCGATATAGAAACTAAAACTTTAGTAACTGTAATTTTAGCATAATGGATTCTGCTGTGACTTCTAAACTAATTACTGAATTATTGCTGTCTGCCATTTTAAATGATGTACCTATGAGCGAAAATGAAACGAGTTTGCTGTGTGTCCTGATTTGATTTCCGGCTAAGGCAGGAACACACCTTTCTATAGGAACTGCTTCAGTATATTTATTGTAGTTCAACTCTGGTTTCCTTATTGGTGATTATCACAGCAGTGTCATGGTGTTGATCACGTTGTCTCAATACTCTGTCATGTAAATAGCAAGGATGGACTTTCAACAAATATCTTCCACTAAGAAACATTGCTGTAATAGGACAGCACAGTAGTGCAGAAAATAATTCCTCCTGTATATATAACCTCCTGTCGATTCTTTTTTATTGACAATTAGAAATGTGATTGACACATAGATCCAGCCTGGTATTTAACGTAGATATATTTATGTTATAGAGGAGCTTTAGTTTTCTGCTTTGAACCGTAACGCACTGTTAAACAGAAACAGACAGATGAAAACATCGGTTCTCATTTCTTTAGTAGGCGTTTCCTCTTTTTCCGATCATGGACGTACCACAGTGCGAGCTGTTGTTGTTCTGTCACGTGTCTGTGTGTGTGCACACTCACAAAGGGGGAGAAACAGTAAGAGGAAGTACTTTTTTTTCCGCCATTGACATTGTGCAGCTGAAGCTTTATCCAAAGTGAGATTATGCCATTGGGATCGTTTTTAGGCCCCCTTGCTGCTGAAAATGGACGACATCCAGACTGAGTCCAAGCTTTTGCTGGGAGACAGTGACCTCAAGGTAAGTTTTACAAGGTTCATGGTTTCTAATTCTTGATTTCCTGATTGCTGTAGGAAATGTGGTGTTTTATTTGTATTACACATGAGATGCCTTAGTCTCTAAAATAGTGTAAACAGTATGCAAGTATTTATTCAGTCATTCATGTAATGTACATACGTCTGTGTGTGTATTCAATTTATTTTATTTATGTTTTATATGCTTCATTGTTTAATGTATGTGTGTACTTTGAGGAGGGGGGGGACCTTGACAAACTCCTCATTTCCAAAGCTGGCGCTTACATTTCTTAATAATCTGATTTAGTATTTGTCTAATGATGAAATTTTACATTTATCTGTATATATTTAGCTTTTGTCCAAAGTGCCAGATGGCAATTGCTTGTCAAGGAGCCAGCTCAGGTACATGAGCAGTTAGGCTGAGCTTCCAGTGACTGATCAGTGTAAGTTAACATTGTAACGAGCTACACAAAACGTGGTTAGAACTTAGCATCAGAAAAGTCCTGCTTTGCCAGTGAACCATAACCACTGAACAATCGGTGAATACAGAAAGCAGGTCTGGGGGAGGATGTCTCGGTGCTCAGAGTTAGTCAACAATTGCTATGTGTTTGTCGCTAATACGCCGCTATTTTATTGTCATGGTAACCATGATGGTTGTCATTCTCTCAGACCTAAGAGCCATTGTGCTGTTGCATGCTGACAGTAATGAGCGATGCAGACTGATGACTGGGTGATTACCTTAATGCTGATCCTTATAACGTACATCCCAGCGCTGTGTTGCTGTTTATGTGATGAGGAAGGTCTGCCTCATGGAGTGGTTTATCTTTCTGAGAGGCGTGACCTATTGGGATTGGGTGTAGATTTTATGTCTAACATATTGTTTACGTTTCAGGGGCTGAGAGAGGCTGTCCAGCAGCTTGATATCAAGGCAAGTACGGTATCGCGTCAATGTCCGATCCTTTCCGGATTGATTCACTGCAGATTTTATCAGAAGGGAATTGTGGTGTTCTGTGGTGGACTCTCTTCCCTAAATGGGGAGCCATTCGGTGGTAATGCAGGTTGCTGAATTTCTAGACTCTACCACTTTCACCCTTCATACTGTTTAGGCTAGCCTCCCTCGTTCTCCTCCCACCCTCAAAGAACAAAGCCATTTCTATGGAAGACCATCAAATAGCCAGAAGAGAAACAGCCTAAAATTCCTTATTTTTTCCCCCTTGTTCTCTTGCACCACCTTGTGGTCGTTCTGGCAGCAGCAATATATTTTGGCAGCCTTCACATTTTTAAATGTCAGTTATTTTAATTGTATAATATCTTTCAATTAATAACTGTAGCTGTTCTTTATTGATGACAGCAAAAACTTTATATAGTAATGTAGGGTTAAACCACTTTCTGTTTCCAAAACAGCCATTTCTTTGTATGAGCCACATATAAGTCTTATAACCTCTCATCCAATTGACTTTTTACCTTCTGTGTGACTGTGGAGGATGTCATGCTTTACCAAAGACACTGCGTCAGGAAAAGCATAAAAGATCGATCCCCTCGTTGAATAATTCGTTTGTGTTGCGAAATCCATTCAACGGGAATCTAACTACATTAGTTTTCCAAGAAAAACATTGAGCTGTGGTGTTGCCTGGGACAGCAGACCGATCGACGTGGACGACCCGAGCCGTTGGGCCTCAGTGCCTGTCCAGGCAGCTGGACGCCCTGAACGTGGAGACAGAAATGGCCGACTGTGTCCTGCTGAGCCGTGCAGATTAGTACCTGGGTTTCCAGGACGGTATGTCACATGACACGTCTGAGGCTCTTCACCCTGGCACGGACGGCCTGCCATCTGCCCGAGCACGTAGGGCTGCTGAAGACCTAACGCGCTCGTATTAAGATGGGACACAGGGATAATTGTTCCCAGGGTTCCCTTTAAACGTGGCTCTTGTTTCCTCGTAAAATGCTTTGCTTGCGTTATATTCTGCTATGTCTTGAAGGCCAGTGAATTTGACCTGAGGAACTTGTTTGTTCCTCCTGTCGTGGCATTTGCCGATTCAGATGAGTTTAACTAATTACCTCAAACCGAATATAATGATGCTACCTTCAGTGGCGATTTTAGGCTAACTTTGTGAATGAATAGTGCGATACTGGGTCACATGATGATACATATCCAAGTATTCCACTGTCCCAGAACTGGTCTGGGGTGGTGTAGATGATCACAGCACCTGACACTGACTGATCCAATTTGCAGATCTCTTCATCCAGTATTAGCTTGTTTTGGTTGCCAGGCAAGGAATCATGGGAGTCTGGGGCTTAGGCAGTGGGAGTATAAAATGGCACTCGCAGTCGTATCGGGATTAAGGATCTTTCAGAGCTTTGTGAGCTGTTGGATCTCTACCTTCCCTGCATTACGCAGCCTCGCTCGTAAAACATGGCTCTCGAGGACTCCGACATGGACTCTGTTGGGGAGGTTGAAGCAGTTGTAAGTACCAGAACATAGTGATTAGTCTTTTTTTTTTTTTGGTCATATTTCGTTTAGTTTCCACGGTGTTCTGGAAGCATCTGGTTTGGAGTGTTTTCAGGTACTCTACCCAAAAAAAGTGCAGAAGTACTAAAGATTGTAGCCTTTACAACAGGGACCCAGTACCTAAGATGAAAAAGTTGGGTAGTTCATTCCTTTGGATGGTTGGGATGGGGAGATCGGCTTGATGAGGTTCATAATGGATGCTGAGTTTGTCAAAAATGTTGCTGACAAACATGAACATTTTTCATAGATTAGATGCTTTTGTTTGAGTGCCTTATTTATGCTGTGGTGAATGATCCTGGGGGGCATTTTGAGGAATACTCTGGTGTGTAGTTTTCAAAAAGGGGAAAAAGTAAATAAAATGTGTTTAAAATTATTTTTTTAATGCATCAAAAAAATTGGTTCATTAGGTTCAAAATAAACATGGTCTGAGGTGACCTTGTGAAGACCGCTATGGTCAGATGTTAACTGTAAGCCGCCAAGAGATGAAATTTATTACTTAAAGCAACACCTGCACCTGTGTACCAGTTTCACTAATAAAGGCGACTCGGGTCATTGCTAGACCAGTTAAATCGGGAGCTCGGCTGGAACTGTCATGCTGGCCGTTCGGTGACCTTCTCTGATGAAAGATCTGACCCTTCAGGAGCATGACGTGGAGACTCCATACGGCAAAGTCCACTGCACCTTGAAGGGGGTCCCCAAGGGTGATCGGCCTGTTATCCTCACCTACCATGACATCGGACTGAACCGTGAGGATCCTTTAATCTCTAATCACCCCACACACACACACACACACACTCTCAAAGTAATGCACTGTGTGGAAACCTTACTCAGGTATGGCTGTTTGGTAACCCCTGGAGACCCCGTTCAAAAATGTGATCTCGCTGTCCGCTGCACAGACAAAAACTGCTTCAGCCCATTGTTCACCCATGAGGACATGCAGGAGATCATGCAGCACTTTGCCGTCTGCCACGTGGATGCACCTGGTCAGCAGGAGGGAGTTGCCACATTTCCATCTGGGTGAGTGCCTTAACCCCCCCCCCCGCCCCCCCGAACTATGAACCTCTGCTAATGTAAACAGTGCTGATAAAGTGAGGAAATGCACCTCAAATGCTATTTGCCCTAAAGCCTATTTATGGCAGTCCTACCTGAACTACATCAATGGTAAAATAGTCTTTAGATACCGGATACTGCATGATTCCATTCATCTAATTGGAAGAGTCGTGATTTTCCTAATTGTTGTGAACTTTAGAAGTACCTTCCAGGCTGTCTTCTGAAGTCCCAGTAAGATAACCCTCTCTCTGTGTTTTCCCATAGATACGAATACCCCTCCATGGACCAGCTGTCTGAAACTATTCCTCTAGTCCTCAAGCATTTCGGGTATGTTTGTGACACCCAACATCGCTCATTGGCGAAAGAGCCGAGATGTAGACAAGTGTGGCTCTAAGCTACTATGTAATGAATCCATTGGTAGACTGAAGCCAGAAGAGTGAAGCCTTCACTAAGAGTAATGGTTGTGTAACTCCTTGCTTGTTTCCCCACAGTCTTAAAAGTATCATTGGCTTGGGAATTGGCGCCGGAGCCTACGTCCTCGCAAAGTTTGCCGTGAGTCAATATTCTTCCCTGCCTGTTTGCGCATTTGAAACTTTAATCAAACCAGGATTAAGCTTCAGTAAATTCCCACACCTGCATTCTGGCAGCGCTGCCAGCTGTGTAATCCTTCTTATTCTTGTTGTGCTATGAGTTGCGCTATGAAGGGTTATTTCTTCCCATGTGCAGCACATTACGTGGCAAGAGAAGCCATGCCTGCTCTGGGGTAGGGGTGGGCAATCTTATCCGCAAAGGGCCAGTGTGTATGCAGGTGTTTGGGATAATCTTTAGGTCAGCTGTCCGAACCCAGGTGTGAGGACTCCTCAGCCAATCAGTCTTCTAATTAGTAATCTTATTAGGGAATTGCGGAGAAAACCCACGTACACAGCAGCCCTTTCCGGATAAGATTGCCCACCCCTGCTCTAGGGAGTGGTTGCTCCTCATACTGAGGATTATTGACACCTGATGATAGATGGCATCCCCATAGATGTGCTTTGCTGAGGCCAACTAGAGCTCCTGGCTTTTTGCTCTGGCTTTCAGTCAGGTGTGGCTGGAGGTGAACACTTTCCAGTTCCTTTGCTGTGCCTTTGACTATAGCTCCCTTCTGCCACCTTACAGCTGGACTACCACACCATGGTGGAAGGACTGGTTCTGATCAATATTAACCCATGTGCCGAGGGCTGGATGGATTGGGCTGCAAACAAGGTACAGTGTTCTATTCTTAAGAACCGTTTCTGTTATGATATATGCATTTCAGTGTGTATTAAGAAACCTTGGTTTCTGATACAATGATACCTTTTTCAAGATCATACTTTTGTTTCGAGTACTTTTGGTAGGTTCCGGTGGTACTGTCTGCCATATCAGCCCATACCTTGAGGGTTTACATGCCTGTTCGAAACTAACGATGTCTGTTGAACTTGATTCCAGATCACTGTATGGGCTCAGGCCCTTCCTGACATGATCATCACCCATCTCTTCGGGAAGGTGGGTTCCATGATTGCGAGATGTCTTAACGATTCCTTGCCGTCCTGCTTCTGAGATGCCTTATGCATGATGTTCCTTTTGAAGGCCCACAACCTTGAGTTTCAATGTGCTGTTTATCTGTAGGAGGAGATCCAAAACAACCATGACCTGATTGCCACATACCGCCACCACATCCAAACTGACGTCAACCAGTCCAACCTCCAGCATTTTGTCAAGGCCTATGGAAGGTATGGCTCGGCCAGCTTGCGGGGGGGAAGGAGGTTGATTTATAATCCAGCACCATCTGTTTCTTTACAAGCTTACTGACATTTCTCCAACCCCCACTTCCACTGACAGCCGGAGGGATCTAGAGATTGAGCGGCCTGTCCCTGGAGGACAAGTTACAGTGAGGACCCTGAAGTAAGCTAGACCACCCTCAAAATGTAGTCAAATTTATGTGTTCTATGTAGTTTTCCGACTCCTCGACTTATAAATTTTCTCCTATATCTTCCTTCTATAGGTGCCCTGCTCTCCTGGTCGTTGGAGACAGCTCTCCTGCAGTTGATGCTGTGGTAGGTGTACCTTACACTGTTAAACAGCCTGTTTACCAAGACCAAGGTCATCTTGGCAATGATCTTCAACAACAAATGAGCAGCCAGACTCTCAAATGCACTTTGGTAATCAAATAAAACCAAAGTAGGTATTAGTTACTGTTTTTTTTTTTTTTTTTTTAGGTGGAATGTAATACGAAGCTGGACCCGACCAAGACTACTCTTCTGAAGGTGAGGTATTTATAGTAACACAACAACATCAGCCGATGAGCTCTCGCATGCTCAGTGCTGATTGGCACTTTTTTTTTTCGTGTCACATCGGTGCCATTGGCCTTTGTCAACATTTGGCATGGTGTTGGAAAGGTGGGGGTCGAGGGGGGGTCACGATTTGTCCCCTCTGAAACACGCTGTGGCCTCATGAAGGGGTCATAGGTTTTGATACGGGCAAATTTTGCTCATGAAAGGTTGGGGTAGAGACTCATGCATTCCTGGGGAAACTGGGCCACATCCCAAAATATGACTAGCCGGCTTGTTTAGACGCTGCACGGGGCTCACAGTAAACAGAGAGTAGGCTGTAAGCTGTTATCCATGTCCCTGTGTGTTCCTGCAGATGGCAGATTGCGGAGGCCTGCCCCAGGTCGACCAGGTATGTTGCCTATACTTGCGATACTAAGACCCAGCGACACAGACAGGGGGATAAGCACCAGCACTGCAGATTAGCATAAGCTCTTTACTGAACTGTCTGCATCTAGGACGACCTCAGGAAAAAACCTGTCGCTAAAGTGATTTTGCAACTATTGATGCAAATATTAATGAAAATCCTGGATATCCGGCAGATAAATTTGGTCTTCCAATGATTTTATCACTCTTGGGTTGTTCATTACAGGAAAAGATTCAACCAAGGTTCCTAATCTCTCTCTCCTGTTCTCTTGACAGCCCGGAAAACTGACTGAAGCTTTCAAGTACTTCATCCAGGGGATGGGCTACAGTGAGTGTGACCGCTCACAGCTCTGCCTGGTTGAACAGTCCATTTTGAGCCCAACTTTTAGCATCTGTGCAGTTTATAGTTAAATGTTCTAATTTTTATAGGTTATTTCAGGCAGTTGGCGTTAAATTTTGTCATAACTGTTCAGTGGTGTTATATTTAAACACATCCACCTTGGGACACAAGGTTATTCTTAGAGAGACGATTAATGATTTTCGAACCTAGCGAAAATTCAGACTTTGTGGATCATTCCACACACCACAACAATTTTACAATCCATTTTTCACAGCTTGTTTGATATATTGCAGGAACATCCATATGCTCATGGGATAAAGCAATATCTGTAGTGAAGTAGGTTATATGTATTTCACAGGCCTGTCCTGAAGGTTGACTTTATGTGGATTGACCGTTCACCCTCTATCGCCCTCTAGTGCCCTCGGCTAGCATGACCAGACTGGTGCGCTCCCGCACGGCCTCCGGCTCCAGCGTCACCTCCTTCGACGGCAGCCGGAGCCGCTCGCACACCAACGACGGCAACCGGAGCCGCTCGCACACCAACGAGGGCGGCCGCATGCGTGCTCACACCGCCGACAACCAGCGCCATGCGCCCCCCGACGGCCCCGGCGAGAGCACCGGCACCGACCAGGCCGTGCCCAAGTCCACCGAAGTGTCCTGTTAGAGCGGCCAACACGTGCTCCTCGTCCGACCTGTGCTGCCCTACTGCTAGCTGCACAATAAGGACCACAATTACCTACCTAAAAATAATAATAATAAAAAGAAAAAACGCATATAGCTACTATGAAAGGCGCTCCCTTTCCCTCTGCCAAAGATCCTTTCTTGCGAAAAGGACCCCAGCCACGTTGATCAGTTGTAACAAAATGAAACGCACAGGGCTTGGGTTGGCTAGAAGCGGGGGCGGCAGGGGTTGGGGGGAGGATTTTTGGGAAACTGCTGTGGGCAACCTTGTACATTCCTGTTCTTTCCCTTTGACCAATGTATTTTCCTGGCTCTGGATTCAGTCCGTTGCAGGGTGGGTGGGGGGGGGGGGGGGGATGGGTGTTGACTCTCAGTTTGAGAAATGGAACTTCCTCAAACTGGAGATTCAGCAAATAGAGCTACAGGGAACAAAACGATGCTGTTTGGACGCTGTTTTTCGGAACCAAATCTAAGGCTTCTAATGCACCGTCATAATCATTTTTAGTTTGGTAATCCTTATATCTTATTGGACTATTTGCATTCTTTCACATTTTCAGATTTCTTTCACTCCACTTAACAGACTTTGATTATCTTAGCCATTGCATATGGGTATAAGTCATTATCCTTCGTTGATTTGCGCTGTTAATTGAAATTGAGTTTACAGTAGTGTTCAAATTGAAGTATTGCAGTTCAAGGAAATACGTGTGTTTTCTGTAAAATCGACTTTCTATGCAAGCAGTAACAGAAGAACAAAAAAGAATGTGCCATCGAACCAGAAATTGGCATTTGGATCGTCTGTGATGTGCTTGGGGTGCGAGGTGGAGAAGCACGATGACAGCCTGTGAAACACTTCATTACCTGCAGATCTCTGCCAGCTTATGCAAACCCTGCTCTGTAAAGTTGCAGACCTGCTTAGTGTAGATGGCGAGTTTTCTTAATTACATAATGGTTTCTATTTATTAAAGAAATGTAACTTTGCATTTTGTGCCTGGACTTTTATTTGCTCTGTGCTGTTCGATAACCGTCCCAGTGACGGACATCTCCGTCCCCCACCTCAGACGCAAGGCCATCATTTCCATTCCTCTGGTAACCAAGAGCAGGGTCGCTCAGACCAGTGTTTCCATGTTTTTAGCCCTTCCCAGCTCCCGGTAGCAAAAATATGAACTGTCTGGGAGGGTCCCTGAGAACCGGGCCGAGAAACACTGATAGACACACTCAGGATGACAAATGCCCTGCTTAAAGGACACCAGTGCTTGGCTCATCCTCCTGAAAGCCTGTTCAATCTGCCCACAAACACAAAAGGATATAGTGCCAGTTCAATACAACTCAGTCTCACCATTTTGTGCTTTCGTAACCACCTCGAATTATAATGATTACTCAGGGAATGGTACATCTGTTGAAATACATTAATGCGTTATGAAAACAAAATCGCTTTGCTGCTTTTCATGTTTTATTTATATAGTTAAATAAACCAGTCCCTGATAAATATTGGCAAAAGCACAATTTTTTATGACAGTATTTCGAAACAAGCAATTCTATTCAACTCCGAATATGAGAAATTAATAAAACCTTAATACTTGACTGATACAAGCATCTAGGAAGGTTATTTGTGTATTAGTCATCTAATAATGGTCATGATAGATAAATAAATATCAAAATAGTTGAATGGGCATACAAGCTCCCACAGGGGAACTGAGAGATGCTGTGCAATATCATCATCAATTTGTCACGAGTTTGGTACTCTCCGATTTCACGGAGTGCAGGGTTACCTTCGTCTTCTCTCCACGCCCAAGAGCACACAGTGTACCTGGGGAGGCTGACCCTTCAAGGCATCCAAGGTCACCGCCAAACCCTGCATCCGACAGCGACGTGAGGAAAGGCACACATACATCATATCCAGCTACGGACAATGTCGTTCAATTAAATCCCTTTATACCTGCATATTAAGAATAATATTTTCCAATAGGAAAAAAGATGGCCGCTGAGACCCTTTACAAATTTCATGCCTCTAAAAATGGTAAGAAAATTACCTTTCCTTTCAACAATCTGTGGCTCATTAATTGATTTCAATTAACTTAAAAAAATAAAGTGTCAGGAAGCTTTGACCCTTCAGAATGAAACTTCTGGAAAGTTCCAAACGGCGATAAGGTAATATCGTGCATCCAGGTTCTGGGAAAAGGCCAGCCTGTCAGTTCACCATCTCAGGGTAATCATAGTAGCGCTCCAGCTCGTTGAAGATATCGTTGGGGTTCTTACAGCTGAGGTTGCAGAAACAGGCGTTAATCCACATGTGCTGCCAGGAGAAGACGGCCCCATTGGGGCACCGAAACTCAACCTCCACCGTCCTGGACTTGTAGGGGATGCAGCAGCGCTCGTCCGTGCAGACCCCGCAGTATTTGGGCCGGTACGCCTTCGTGCTGGTGCAACCCGAGAGGGTGAAGTTCTGTGGCTGTTCCTCCCTGTATATGTTGAGACATTTTTTCCCCGGCTGGAAAACAGCAAAGAGAGAAGATGACGGGACGATCGCAAAGTGACCTAAAGACCGAAAGCCTTCCATAACCAATACTAACTAGTGTATGCCAAACATAACACTCCACGGTCCCTATGTCTGAGTCTACAGCACCCTCGCATAGAGTAGCGGTTCTCAAACTATGGGTCCTGAAATGATTTTTTGAATATGCTAAAAAAAAAAGACAAATTTTTATTTGTCAGCTAAGCACTCCAGAAATCTTATAGTTAGGAATCTTTTAGCAAATTTTTATCATTCGGGAACACCACCCCACTATGGTGAATTTTATTTTAGGGGACGCCCTTCCACTCGCAGATATATTGACCAATGGGATGGGGGATCAGCAGACAAAAGGTCTGAGAACCACTTTATCCTATAATTCAGTGCTTCCCAAGCCGGTCTTCCGGGACCCGCAGACAGTCCACGTTTTTGCTCCCTCCCAACTCCCGGAAGGTAATCAGTAATCATTTTACCTTAAGTGTAAACAGCTTGTAAAAATACAGCTTTATCAAAATATAAATGCTATGCAGTTAACTTTGGATGACAGGACAGTATGTGTGATAAATGCTGGTGGGACCTTGATGTGCTTGGTGATGTCGACCTCGCACGGCCGGACGGTGCACAGTCTCGTCTCCTTCACCATCTCGCACTGGTGGTTGGCGTTGGAGATCCGTGTGGACAGACCTCGGCCGCACGTCTTGGAACAGGGACTCCAGGATGTGGTCTGGGCCACGCAGTTCTTCTGCCAGACCTCATTGTCGTCTGGGAACACTATGCCAGAGAAGAAACCGGAAAGTGCCAGGAATCCCGTTGAAAATCTTACCGTCAACTGACTTAACAGCCAGTGAGGCTGTTTTAGCAGAAGGAGTCACTGAAACACCATCCTAACTGTACACACCACTTTAAAATGTACTATATTAAGACATCTGTCCAGTTTCCATAACTGCTTTTCCAGGTGAGGTCAAAGCAAATCTGGAGATCGTCCCAGAAGGTACAGAGGACAAACTCCATGGATGAGATGCCAGGCAGCTAAGAGCAATTAGGAGATGTCATTGCACACGTCTCTGAGCTGTGGAAAGAAGCCCCCCCCCCACACGAATATGCAGAGAGCTGGGCTAGGATTCAAACCCACAACCCCATGTCACAACATGCTTAACAAGATCTCAAATAACAGCTTTCAAACTGTTTCAAGAAGAGAGCTAATGACAGATTTCCTGCAAGTGATTCCCTTGTCAATTTTTTTAAAAACTATTATTTTTATAGACCACACTGTAACTCATTTCCTGCTAGATGGGTAAAAAAGACGAGAACAAAAATAATACAGGTACACAGGAAACTGTTTAGTCTTACAGGTAACGAGATCCCACGTAGCTCTACCTGGAAATAGGTCACACGTCAAAACGAACATGATGTAATGAGCATCACTCATATCATATGGGGAAATGATCTAGTGCTGTCCCAGCCAATCTCCTTATCAGCCTTCTCTTCTGACAAGATTACAGGGAATGTTTCTCTTTTTTCCCACAACAGGAGGTTTACCTTTTTAGCCTGCTGTTTACTAAAACCCCTCTGAGTAATCAATGGTCCATCCCTGTGAGGGGTAAAAGCATGTTAGGCGCGTACCATCCAGAGCGTGCCTGGGGGAGGCCTTACGCGGCCGTCGGGCCTCGTCGCATATCCACTGCTCACAGCAGCGACCCGGGAGCTTGACGCGCCGCGGGGCCTGGCACCAAACCAGTGGCGGCTGCGAGTCGGAGCACAGCGTCACGCAGCCGATGGCGCCGTTCACGCACAGGCAGCGGTATTTGCAGCTGGGCTGGAAGCTCTGGCCGTTGCGGTAGATAACGCCGTCGTGCTTACAGCCAGTTCCCACCATGTCTGTGGGGGGTGGGGCACATCCTCTCAGTCAGAACAGGCTTCAGGAAGCCATTTGCTAAACGACTACAGCTTCAAAGATATTTACTGAGGAAAAAGTTGAATGAAATTTGTAGGATGAGCCACGGAAAATGGCTGAATCCTGCGGATGGCCTTGAGGTCACTTACATGCGCAGACTCCTTTTTCGTACCTAGGCTTGTCAGAGCTGTAGTCGCAGTACAGGCCCTTGTGATAGTCGCAGGTGTCGGCCTCGTTGCACGTCTCGGCCACCTGCTTTGCGCAGGCCCTGCAGCAGTCGCAGCCATCAATGAGCAGGCTGACGCCCGGGGGGCACCAAGGCGGCGTCTTGGGGCACTTGCAGGGCCACTTGCAGTACTGGGTGCGGTTGTATGTCTCCGTCATGGTCAGGAGAGGCGGTGCGGTCGTTATGGTGATGGGGCCATGGCAAGGAGCCTGTAACATACAACCCGGGGATGGGGGGACTTCATCAGAGATGGGCTGTAGCATGAAACCTCTCTGTTAGTGAACTTTGCAGGGCATGGACTGCAGAACACATCTGTACAAGGGGGTGCTTTGGGGGGGGGCGGGGATTCAGGCTTTTATTAAACTATCAGTTTGCATTGAATTGTTTGTAGGCACCTGTTCCTGACTGCATTCTTAACGGTGCTTTAAAAGTTTTGAAAAGATGGTTTTGTTGTATTTAGAAGCAGCCATCGTCTGAAAGACCTCCCAGAAAGGGTTAGGGTAAGGCGGACACACATTCTCCTGCCTCTCTGCGAATGAATCGGGGATATCAGCTCACCTCCTATAGTCTACTGAAGTCTAGACAAAAATGCCACCTAGGCTCAGTACAGACAAGCCTACCCACTTAATGTTTATCCCGTCTGGCACAATCACTCCTGGCCCTGCTGAGGCCCGAGGCCACCTTTGGTGTTCAGTGCTCTCATTCCCAGCTCCACGCCGGCACAGTTCCCGTCAGGCAATCACCTGGGCTCCCTAATCGGCCACATTCCCCCCTTTATTGCATAGCGCTCACCCAGCAACCAAACTGAAAGCGACTAATGTTCCGCGAAGCCTTTTTCGCCAGGTCCGTCTCAGCGCCGTGCTGGGAAGCCCGACTCCGTCGCTCAGCAGTCTTTTGTCCGCGGCCCAAATTATATAACGATGAACAAAGGCAGCAAAGTCTCCCCGGCAAACTCGGTGATGGTAGCAGCGAAGCAAACAAGCACAGTAGTCTCAGGTAGGCTTTCTCTGCGCAGTCTAGCCAGCCAACCTGCAGTGTCTGGTTTGTGTGAAGGCGTGCGACAGAAGCTCCTTTATTTTAATAAGATATTCAGGGTCAAGTTCACTTTGCTGGCGTTTACAGTTACAGTCCCTCAGCTATATTTTAATAGTGCTTAAGTGGCTTGAATTTATAGAGTTAGACTTGTATTAAAACACACATAATTTTGCAATATAATAATACTGATAATAATAATAATTTAATTATTCTTGTAAAGATCGCAGGAGGCCTGGTGTCTATCCCAGGCAGCATAGGGCACAAGCAGGGGTACACTCTGGACGGGTCTAATGCAACATATATTACTGTGCAAAGGTCTTAGCCAGTGAAAAGCAAAGTTAAAAGCTGTTTATCTGGGTAGCAAGTGCACATTTACTCAGAACAAAAAACACAGTGCAAGACTAGAACATAAAGAAATTAAGAGTAACACAATAAAAACTAGCAGAAATTTCTTCTGTTCTCCAAAAAGCTACTGACATCTTGCTGGATGGCTAGATGAACAGCACTTTAGTTCCCAAACCTCTCCTCAGGGGCACCTCAGCCATTCCATGTGTTTATTAAATTTCACCACCAGCTCACTTAATTAATTAACATGATTAGTTAAAATACTCAATGAGATTAGCTGTATGAGGTGCACTAGTAGTCGAGTCAAGAAATACATGGGTGTATTGTGTCACGATTGCGGAGAAGGCGAGCCGGGAAGCAGGCGAGCAGAGCCAGTAATACGGAAAGTCGGGGTTTATTACGGGAAACGGGCAGATATCGAAACAGCAGACATGACAATACATGACACTACAATGACTAATCTGGGAAAGACTGACTGAGACTCGGACTAAATACACAAGACAAGGCAAAAGGAATAGGCAACAGGTGATGATAATCAGGCAAAAACAGGAGGTAACGAGGTGGGCGTGGCACACATTAGGATCGGACGGAGCTGGGCGTGACATATTGTATGGTTGCCGGAAATAATAGGGTGATTTTAGCAAAGGTTTTGAAATGGCTAAGCCGACACACTTTGACAAGCATAATAGCAAAGTTTTAGACCGACATAAAGATCAATTTAAACTCTGGCTGCCATTCATTCATTTTTGTCTGTTTGTTTGTTTGTACAGATGCTCCTCTACTTACGAATGAGGTATGTTCCGAACGGCCGTTCGTAACTTGAATTGTTCGTAAGTCGTTATTCAACATAATTTTTAAGGGTATATGCAAGTATGAACTGGGATGCTGGGAGTACACATGCTACAAACCTGGCTAATAATTTTCATTCTAGTTCATCCCAAAAGGTGTTCAATGGGTTTGAGGTCAGGGCTCTATACAGCCCGGTCAAGTTCTTCCAAACCAAACTCACCAAACCATGTCTTTATGGACCTTGTTGTGCGCACCGGTGCACAATCATCCTGGAACAGAAAGGGGCCTTCACCAAACTGTTCCCACAAAGTCAGAAGCATAGAATTGACCAAAATGTCTTGGTGTGCAGAAGCTTTAAGAATTCCTTTCACTGGGACTACAGGGCCCATTCCCTGAAAAACAAGCCCATACTGTTATCCCTCCTCCACCAAACAGCTGGCACACTGCAGTCAGGCAGGTAACATTCTCTGGCATCCACAAAACCCATATTCATCCATCAGACTGCCAGACAGAGCAGCGTGATTCGTCATTCCCACGGCTGCCATGTCTAGTGGCAGTGTGCTTTACACCGCTCCAACCAATGTTTGGCATTGTGCTTTGTGACGTGAGGCTTGCATGCAACTGCTCAGCCACGGAAGCCCATTCCATGAAGGAATTTGGAATTCTGCAGTTATTGTGTCAACAGAGCATTGGCGACTTTAACACACTGTGCGTGTCGGCACTCTGCAAGCCTGCTGTGACTTTACGTGGTCTGACACTTTGTGGTTCAGTTTCCGTTGTTCCTAAATGCTTCCACTTGGCAATAATACCACTTACAGTTGCCTGTTTAATATCCAGAAGGGAAGAAATTTTACGAACTGACTTTTTGACAAGGTGACATCCTATGGCAGCACCACACTTGAATTCACTGAGCTCTTCGGAATTACCCATTCTTTCATAAACAATGGCTCTGAATGAAACATATGAATTTAATAATTAAGAGGTGTGTCCAAATACTTTTGTCCATATACTATAGGTATATGTGTGTGGATTGCAGTAGGAAACGTGTGCAACACAGGGTGGACATGCAAACCCAATGCAACAGAGTAAAGGGCGGGGTTTCGAACCTACAACCATGGTGATGTGAGGCACTATGTTGGCCCATTAATAAACTATAAATCGTCAACGAGCTCATGTTGTCTGTGGGCAGATCTTTATGCATCAGCAGATTACATTATCCCCTAATCTCAACGCAGGCTATTAATCTAGATTTATAGCGACCTCCAAGAAAGGCAGCCTGTCGCTTGAAATCCGCCCCCATGTTTCTGTCATCCCAGGAATGCAACATACAGTCAGGCTCTTATCCCCAGAATCGTGGACCATGACGGCACCAGGAATAACAGAGCTACAAATACGGAGCGGAAAAGTTCAAATTTCATCAAATTGCATTGAAAACGCCAGCAATCAGTGAAATCTGTCTGCAGTCTGAAAGGCATCTATTTTGTTACTTCCCCCAAAAGCCTAAAGCAATCACAATTATATTTGACACCAGCTGACACCAGTATTATAGACTTACCAATAAAGTAGAATATTTCTGCATATTAAAGCAACCTAACGGTTAAATCCAATATCAGGTATTAGTATCATTTTCTTGGGTTTTAGGTAAACCAAAATCTGCACCTAAACAGGAGACGTCTTCCTCAGTCCTAAAGGGTGGAGGTCCTTGGCATCCAACAGAGACTTTGTCAGAAAATGTGACTCAGGATATGTGGAATAACAGGAAAGGGTAGATACAGTACAAATGATCAGGGGAACAACTGACCCCCCTCCAAACTCTCAGATGGGTTTTGCCACACAACTGCAACAACCTCGCAGTTGTTACACAATAGTATCGGAGCCAAGCCCTCAGCGGTACTTACGTTGGGCCACATTCAATGAGGATTCTTGAGTCACGATAGCCCTAAAATTATTGTGACATAACTGGTCTGCATTGATCTGCAGGAACTGCTTTCATGGGCAGTGTGTGGCTCAGTGGGCTAAGCCTGTGTACCTGTAATCACAAGGTCACTAGTTTAAACCCAGCCTCAGCATGTCTGTGGGTCCTTGAGCAAGGCCCTTAACCCCCAGCTCCCTGGGTGCCCCAACAGGTGGCTGCCCTTTGTGGATAACTTACTCTACAAAGAGCAAGTTGAGGGAGGTGTAAAAACAATTTCCCCACGGGGATCAATAAAGTATCAATTACTTATTATTAAAATCTCTAGTGGTGTCCCTGGGTACACATCACCTAACCTGTACATTGTTTTGTTCATTGTTTTTCTTTCTATAATTTTAAATGTTGACGTACGTCCTAAGAAACGTTGACTTATGTGTGATTTTGAAGCATAAAATCAGTGATAGGCTCACTGTTCCCCTGGCTTGATAATACCACTTCCGCCTCCTGAACCATGCATGTCATGTGGGAAAAGATGAAAAACAATAGTTTCCTTTTTCCAGAAAATTTCATTCCAGTTGTACTATAATTTATCCACAAGGTGTCAGTATAATACAGTGTGCAATGCTGTGCGACATAGTTCGACACTGTCTTTCAATACTCAACTAGATTTAAACAATCAAACCCCAAGTAGTTCAGTATGGATTTCAGGTTACATTTGTAAACGTATGTCCTCGGATCAATAAATAAACAAAACAGACAAAGCTTCTAATAAGAGCTTGTTATATGGTCCATACTTTAGATTCCCCAGACTTCCCATCGCCCAAAACCCATTAATAGTTTGACCAACGGTGCAGATATATCTAGCTCTGCAGTCTAGATGGGTTACTTTAAACTTCTGGTCGCTCATTGCTTTGCTGTTATCCATCGTTACGTAGCATTTTGGAATCAGGTTTCGGCTATGCGAAGCCTACATTTATTTCTGTTAATAGAATATCCAGTCTGGCCTCTGATGGCTAGATCGGGAAGTGGAAACATCACACCTCGATATTTTAAACATAAATGAACAAGACGGTAATTAGGGAGGGCGCGGTTTCGTGACATCTTTCATTGTGGCGTTTCATCCGCTGACACGGCATGCAGCGCCTATGGGAGACGGACACGCTGCGCTCCTAAGTACTGCGGCAGGGTTCTGCATGCCATTAAGCTCGGATCTGTGTTTGAAAAAAATATACGAAAAATATTTTTTTTTTAACGAAAGAAACCGCAATTAGAGCGATTTTTCTAGATGTTTTGTCGCTAGAAACACCACTACACTGAAAAGTGTAAAATAGCCTATTATAATTAGAGTGATATTGTTCATTGTCATCTCTTTTGTCAGCTTCTTTAATCTACCCTGGACAATACTCATGTTTTAATGATCATTCCCTCAGCTAAATCTTCCTTCTGTATGAGACAAGCCAAACATAAAGCAAGACTTTTTAATCGTTTGCATACTATATATAGCCTATGGGTTGTTAAACGGGTCGCAATTATAGGAGGTGATGCAAAAGGTTTAATATAAGGAATGCCGAATCAAAGCTTTAACCTAGACGTCCCGTACGGAAAATGTAATCTACATTTTTGCACATTTGCATTTATTTCAACAAATTATTCAGAGCTGCCTGTTTGACATGATACGTATAATTGTTTACTAAAAGTTGACCTGCCTTTACAAGCACGGCAGTCTGCCACGTGTGTGCCTTAAAATATCAAGGATCTTGCATGCCAGAGATGTCGCATATTGTCAGCATCATGCACAAAAACATATCGTAACCACTGAAACAATTCGTTAAACTATAAAAAAAGCACATCAAGCCCGTCTGTTCATTCAAGTCCTTGACATTTCAGCATGAGTATTTCTAATGGATAATCAGGTAAAAGCAGTGCAGGAACAAAGTAATATATTGCTATGCCCATATATGCAAGGCAGTTAAAGTACTTCGTTCCCATACGTTCCCATACGTCGCGAATCGGTTTAGAAACAAGTGCAGGAACCACTCTATAAACAAACATCCTCACTGAAAAGCCAGCCTGTCATTACAAACCAAGCAGCCCTAATTTTATATTTATTATTGTGTGACACCACGTGCCCAAGCCGCGAAAAATATTGAAAATAAACACACCTCATAAAGTTCAGATGATCAGACAAGGTGGGGAGCTCACCTGATGGACGCTTGCTGCTATCAAAATCCACGGTAGGAGCCACCTCATCTCTGGACCCGGGTAGTAAATTCACTGAACCCAGAATTAAACCCTTGTAAAAGCTAACGCAACGCTTTCCCCCCGGTTTAAGGCATTCGTTACACTGGCATTCCTGTAACGAGCCTTCTTCTGGTTTATGCCACATTAAGGTCAGCCTTGACTCCAGCACCGAGGACGAGCCCCGCGCTTTTCTTGCGGTGCTTTTCCCCTGCCCTGCTTACGCCCGTAGCCCCCTGCACATTACTACCATTGCCTTAAAGTGAAAGTCAGACGACCAGACACTGTACGGTGGTCCCAGTCTGAATGGACATTTACAGCATAATTTCTCTTTTCTTGCTTCCAAATTTGCGAAGGTATTAAATGTGAAATTTACACGAGGCTATGTCCAGTTTGGGCTGCAAAAAACTGCTGCTTTTGAACTATAGTTAATTTTTAATAATTATAATTATTAATAATGATCATTATTTTTTGCTTTTCTTTTTTATCTTTTATTTATTTGTTTGTGTTTGTTTGCTTGCTTGCTTCTTTATATATAAATAAAGGCTAGTGATGAGGCATGACACAATAACTCAGTGAATTCCTTGGGACTCTATGGTTTTCACCTACATTCCAAAGACATGTCTAAATTGCTCATAGTGTGTGTAGCTGACCTGAGATCAGCGGTGCAACAGGGGCATGGATACCCTGGCAGATACCAGGGGCCCCAGCACTTTACAGGGACCAGAATTTCTAACTATGCCCCTGCATCCCATCCAGGGTCTCCCCCAGTCTTGTGCCCTGCGCTGCCTGGCATAGACTCTATTCCCGGTGACCCTGACCTGGAAGACGTAAGGAATTTCTAACATCCGTACCTGAACAGACATGGGAGCTTTTGAATGTAAATCCATGCAGAGATTGTCTTTGTGAAGTTTTCTCTGCTGGTGTCTGCGAACACACTGCTGGGTCCCTCCACGTCTGTGAGGAGAGGGGCTCGGGGTCTGTCTATGGTAGCTCAGCTGGAGACGCGCGCGAGAGAGAAAAACAGCCTCGACGTGCCCCAAGCGTGACCCCCTGCTCCTCACGTCAGATGGCCCACTTTGAAGATATCCGGGGGCCGGTATTACTTCCAGAAGGGCTGTGGAGGCCCCGTGAAGACGAGTCAATGGACCGTGTCCCTCTCTGAGGTAAACGAGCACAGGCCCATCGCTGAGCAGCACAGAGATCAGTTTGCTAATATGCTAGGATTCAACCTTCTGCTGTGTTGCAGGTGAGCAGTATCTGACTGTCTTCTGGCCTCGTATTACTACTGGCTAGTCTTGACAGCATGACTAATGACTGTAACCTTACTAATACTGCTTCTACTAGCAGCAACAACAACAATAATAATAATCATAATAATGGATTATTAAATAATGGGGGTGATGTGTTCCTCAGTGGTTCAGGGCACTGTGCCTGTGTTCAGAAGGTCATCGGTTCAAATCTCAAGGTTGGTAGAGTGATTTCACTGCTGTGCCCTCGAGCAAGACCATTAACCCCAGTTTCTCCACGAGCTGTCTGACCCTGATCTCATTTAAAAAAATGATAAACGTAGGTCGCTTTGCATAAAAACATCTGCTAAATGAATGCAATCATCCGTGATGATTTTTCTTTTTGTGGTTAGTTTGTTTATTTATTGCAGTTATAAAAACTGAACTGCTTCCAAAATAAAAAAAAAAGAATCCATTTTTATATTTCCTGAAAGGAAATGGAAAAAAATTGAATAAATCAGGTTAATCAGGATTATTTTATGCATGAATACATGCTTAAATTTGTTTTTGTGGTTCTGAGTTTTCCGATGGTTCTGAGTAAAGGTAAAAATTCAACTATCTTCCCTGAGATCAGAAGCAGACGGGTAGGTTGCTGGGATTTTTCCGATTGCTTCTGAATTAGAGGACTTCACAAGACAGTGTGGCTGGTGCACAGCAGTAATTATAATCTTTATATAACTGCGGCCACTTATGTAGGACTCCAGGCCTCTGAGAACCGTCTAGAACCTTCTCTGTCCAGCTGATCTAAAATAAGAAAGCTTGGTCTGTCTACTTGTTTCTGTGCCTTTTTTGTTTTGTGAGAAGCTCTCAGAGAAGATTGTTTCATATACACACCTTCACGGAATATCCTTTTTCTTATCTCAGGGAAGTTGTGGTTCAGGGAAGGATCTGAATATGAAATTTTCTGTAAATTCCAGAGAACAATAAACATGTGAAGAACCACCCACTTCCCAAGACTTTTTGGACACAATATAATTTCACTTTGTGTAATTATGTTTTTGTACATCACATGAGAGTGCAATCCTTGAGCTCATATTTTGCTTTGGGGGTTTGTCTCTGCACGGTCAGAGATGACAGCTCTCAATCGGTGCAGGTGGGATGGTGTAAGTTAGTTGATGGATCTTGGGTGGGTTATCTCGTTCTCGTCGTGATGTCCTGCTGACATTGACTGAATAAGAAGCAGAGGTTTCTGCTGTTAAAAACAGGTCTGAAAAAGATGGAGACTTTGGGCTGTATGTACTTTATACACCGCGCAGTGTTCATTTAGCCTGACTGGCGGGTGGCACTCCTGGCAGATGGGAGCTTAGATTTGCATGTACTTAGTTATCCAAACCAACTGACAGTCCAAGTAGCAATATGCTGCTGATTAAGTGACCAGGCTGAAATTGGAAGCATTCGGCATTTTTGGAAAAGGTTTAAAATGGTGAGATTTAAGGCCTTTTCCTGAAAGGGGGAGATTTCCAATATGTATGTGTGTGTGTGTGTGTGTGTATATATATATATATATATATATATGCAAACGGCAGCGTGGTTCTGCCCTGTTTCTCATTAATGAAGGGCTTCTTCCTGGCTTTGTGGGTCTTCAGTCCTGCTTCTATAGGAGCCTGATACACACTGTCCTAGCCGTGCTCGTCACGCCGCCTAATGTTTCCCATTCCTTTTGAATGTCACTTGATGTCATCCTCTGATTTATGAGACACTGGCGGATAAGCCGACGGTCTCTGGCATTAGAAAGTCGCTTCTGTCCTCCGCCTGGCTGGTATTTCGTTGTTGCTTCACCTTCATCTTGCATACTGCTGCCACTCCGTGTAGCCGTCTGCCAGCAGAACCGGGTTAAACCAGGATTCAAAAGGATTAGTAATTAGATTCTTAAAAAATATGGAATGGTCTCTTAACTTTTTCCAGAGCCCCATGTGTGTGTGTGTGTATTTTTTTCCAGAAGGGGGAAAAGAGGGGGGAAAAGATCATATTTATGGGGGTGATGGGGGGGTTCCACGTCCTGTGACCTTAGCCAGGGGACAATCGGCCAGGTGGGGCCCTTTGCCAGGTGGGGCCCTTTGCCAGGTGGGGCCCTTTACCAGGTGGGGCCCTTTGCCAGGTGTTCAGGCCCAGTGAGGCATCAACAGGACTTGGCGAAACAATGAAAACAACTGCCTGACTGTATCTCTGGACAAGAGCACAGCTCCACTCTATCCAAGAGGAAGGGAGGAATTCATCTTGAGCCGTAACAGGCAGCCTTGAGCATTTCTGGGAAACTCTGAGCCTGTGAATTAAGGCAGGGATGTAAGACTCTATCAAGTCTATAGGAACCACTAAAGAAGCCCAAGGAACAATGGAACAAACTAGTCATGGTTAATTTTTCAGAGGAAAATCATTTCAATTAGCATTTAATAGTGTCCCATTGTGCTCTTAAAAAATATAGTAGCTATAAGGATAGAATGTCTGGTCAGGCTGTTCACTGGAAGCGTTAAGTTTGTTACGTTACCATAGAAACTATGATTAGACAGCCACTGCGATTTGGGATCCAAGGAAAATTGTGCTGATAAGAGTGGCTGGTTATTTATGAGTAAAAAATCACACAGGATTCTATATTAGCATGTTTAATAAAACAGAATAGAGCTGTAATTAGGCTGCAGAACTACCTGTCTGGTTACTCAAAATAATTAACACTCATGTGAGATCTCTGAAAATAGTAAAATAATATTTACCAAAGCCACAGTATAACTCTAGTTCATAAAGCTCTTAAAAATTAGATAAATCAATATTGATAGCACTAAGATAGCCTCACCATCAGGATAACGAGGCTTCCATTCATTAATTAATGCCAGTGGGCTTCCTGAAAAAACAACTGCAAATTAAAAAAGTTAAGGACACATTTTGGTTGCATTTACAATGCTGCAGCGTGCCAAAAAGTTGCTATAGCAACATTTATTGGAGACCTGGAATATTCCGTCAGTCTCTCCTCTTCTCTTGAGGCAGCCTGACCTGTCCTTTCTTTGAGGCATATTACTCAATAACTTTCTTAGAAGGGATGGAAATAATTTTCGGTTTTCTCCATGCAGAGAATTTTAAATTATTCCCTCCAAAAAATCTCCAGTAAAGTGTTTAGAGACTTGCTCATAAAATGTTGATGTGTTGAACAATCTCCTTGCGGGATCCCTTCTGCATCAGCACATTGTTCCTTGGGCTTCTTTAGTGGCCAGTTTGCATAAACTGGGAAAATATCTCTTGCCAAGATAGGTCCTGTTGAGCAAAACTTCCCAAGATGGACACAGCAGGCATGTCTGAGGTGGGTGATAAGGAAAGCCGTTTCTCCGATTTCTCCCTCTTTACCTAAGTGCTGGTCATACGGTAAAAGCCCCACAGCAGAGGAGCCTGAGAGAGAACCAGAGAGAGGCCTGGAATCAGAACCATGGAGGGTAGATAAGCAACATAATAATAAGCAATGCAGTATTATGCTATTACATATGTAATAACTAACCACAAATTAAGTGTTAGTTACAAACTGAACTCATGTCTGTTCTGTGTGAATCTATGTGAATTGTCACTCATCTTTTATCTGAAGTAAGTACTATTTGTTACTATATCTGTTAATTCTGTAAATCTTTATGAACTACTGAAGGAACTACTGAAGGAACATGTAATGAACAACACAAGGCAAAATACTGATCTCTTTTTTGTTCATTGTTAATGAATTGTGATGCATCATTTATCCCAAACAGTCACTGTATTTGTTGCTATATGTTTATTATGTAAATGTTAGTGTTATTTGCTTTTTGTTCATCACTTTGGGATCAAGTCCTGTTTTGGATTTGATTTGATTAGTGAACTACTAAGGAACTACTGAAGAAACAAGAAATGAATAACACAAGTGAAATCATGTTTGTTCATCATTAATGAATCATAACACATCTTTCATCTTAAGTAGCAACTATGTTTGTTCATGATTTGTTTAT